TCATCAAGATGTTGTCCAACTTGACGATATTTTGTTTTGAATCTCATGATTTTTTATTCTTTCTGTAACAGTTTGTTGTGTGTCCTCTTCATCTGAAACAACCTTGTTTTGATCATGTTGTGGATTAGTTTGTAATAACATATTTATAGTTGGTGATGATGGTAAAGATGATACACGAGGTGGGGGATGTTGGCGAAAGATATTCGTTGATGATATAATATTATTGTATTGCCCAGTATTTTTGGCATCGCCTTTTTGTAATCGGACAAGGTCTTTTATTTCAAAGTCGACTTCATCAACACCAGCTGTTTTATATTCATCTTCATCTTCTAAGGGTGGTAGAGCTAAATATGAAAGAAAAGAAAAAAAATGAAAAGATTTATTGTTAATAACATACGTTGTTTTCTGGGTGTAAATACGCGATTTGTTTCATAGATTGATTCTGAATCATGTCCACTCATTTCACTGGTAGTTGAACCATCATCAGATATTATAGATAATTGTTTTCTTAATTTTTTATTTTCAAAATGTAGAATTTCAAGAGAAACTGGTCGATAAGAATAAATATTTTGTTGTTTTTCATTTTCAACATCTTGTTGAAATAATGACGTACCACTTGTAACAATTTGTCGAGAAGCTTTTTCGGATTTTGATCATCGAAATCTTCTTTTAAATTTATATTTTCTCAATCTATTGAAAATAAATATTTTTAGGAATAATCTATAGAAAACATTTTTACTTGGATTATCAGTGATTCGTTCAGCTGTCGCATTATCTGTTGTTACTGTTAATTCTGGAAGTATTTGAATTTCTTGATCATATAGCGATTTGATGTTTTAATTAATGAGTCTTTTTGAATAAAATAATTTTGTTCTTCATTAATAACGTACAATGGAAAAGTAATGGCACAAATGTGGATCGCTATTTCTCGTCGACAGAAGCGTGCTGAACCAAAGCCTTTTATTGCAAAAAGATAGCGCTTTTTCTTTTCTTTCGAGCATTCTATGATTGATATTTATCACACATTGATAAATGAAGTGATACAAGAAAAAAAGAGAAACATGCGCAATATATTTGTAATTTGTATATGATTTAGTCAAAGACATCTTGTATATTATAGTTAACTATACTAAAGTGTTGTTTTACAAGATGCTTCTACGGATTTCGTAAAAGTCAGTGTAAGCACTATGTTACAAGATCTTTTTAATAGGTTCACAAAAGTCGAATTAATTATTGTCTAACAAGATGTTTTTGACTATTTCATATAAAAATAACGATTTTATTGCGCAAGTATCTCTCTTTTTTTCTTTTGTTATTTCATTTATCAATGTGTGACAAATTTGAATCATTTAATGTGCGAAAGAGGAGGAAAAGCTCTATCTTTTTGCAAAAATATTGTCGTTCAGCACCCTTTTATTGAAGAGAAATAGCGATCGACATTTGTGCTATGACTTTAGTATCGTACGTTATAAGAATTCTCTGTAATATTACGTTGTACATTTATTTCAATATTGTTTTTATACCACCAGATGATTTATCAGAAACAACAATCATTGGATGACGACTAAATTAATTTATAAAATTACTTTTAGGCACTGAATAAAGCAATTTACCCATTGGCAAGTAAACGAACACCATTTGATTTTTTGCTCATACACGACTTCGAACTTCTTCTTCAGAAATAAATTCCGAACCAGATTCAAATGCTTCATTATCAGCACTCATAGCTGCTGCTGTTACATAAGGATTTATATCACCATAAAAGTCATCTTCAACTATACGACGTTCATGAATATCTCGAAAAAATGACTTCATTACCGTTGTGTATAGCATAAGGAAGAACTGGTGGTAATGGAGCTGTTGTAAAATGTTGATCTTTTCCAACATATACATTTTGTCGACCATTAGAACTACTTGAACCAAAAAATCGTTCACGTAATGATTTACGCTAAATAGAAAGACAAGTACAAAGAAAAAGAAGTTTTTGACGAGATAAACAAGAAAGAAAATAATCACATCAGCTGCATATTTTCTATGTCGATACCATCGACAACAGTACCGTAAGAGATATAGAAGTAGTAGCAACCAACAACAGAGTAAGGCTAATAGAGCCCAAATAGCTAAAGCAGTATTGAGCCGCCATGGATAAGGAGTACTAAATAAAAACTTCTATAGTTATTTTATCAGTAACATACTTTTAAGCAA